AGGTGCCGTGGCCTAGGTTTCTCACTGAAAATCCTCGTCCCCCGGCGGCACCTTTTTTTGAATTTTCTTCCTTTTCAACGACGTTTTTTGGGAATTTCGGATTTTTTTGAATTTTTTCGCAATAATATTTGAAAAATAGATAAATTTTAACACATTTTAATGCAATAAAAATTTCTGGTCGGAGTCCCCCTTTAAGTTGCTATTTTTTTTGTATTTAATACTGATTCGACTATTGGGGCACTTTCTGTCTATCTTTTGAGAAGAATAAATTCACTATAATTCGCATCATGCGAATACTGTAAATCCACGTTTCTCATTTTTATTGGCTCTTATTTCTTCGAAATGTCACGGAAAAAACAGTGTGAAACAATTTCCTAAAAAAGCTCAGCGTAAAAAGTGCCCCTGGTGTGTAGATACGATTAGGTCAATTTTTATTGAATTTCTGAGATCTGATTTTTTTTTGATTTTCTGAATTTTTGAATTTTTAAGTTGCTGGGTTGCTGAAAGCTCAGAAATTTTTTCGAAAATAATCTTTGAAAATTCAAAAATTCGTTTTTTTTTTTGACAACACTTTTCTTGACTAGATCTTATCTTATCTTAATCTTGTCATTATAATAGCCACGCAGAATTTTCAGAACTCTTCATTTTGGAAATCAATCAACCAAATGAAAACCGCTCTTCTCGTCTTGGTCCTTCTGGTCCACACCGTCTACAGCTCCAGTTCCACCAGAGTCGAAATCCTCGAACTCTTCCATTCGGCGAGATCCTCGATCGCCAAGAATGCTCATATCGCCAATATGATCCAATTGGAGTACCAGTCAGAACTGGAGAATATCCTTTATGTTAAGTTGGGAAAGTCGGGAGGATGCTCAGATTCTAAAACAATTTACGATAATTATGGTTCGAGAATTCTAGTGGAAATACATTTAAATGTGAATACTGAAACGATGGATCAGCAATCATTTTCGAAACTTTTTGGAGGAGCTGACAAGCAAGTGATGGCTCATGTGGAGACGAAATGCATGGAGACTGGAAAAGAAGTGCATAGTTATGTGTTTTACAAAACGTTAGTAGATTGAAACAATTTTTTTTTGGAAATCGTTGAAAATATTTTTTCAGAGGCGAACAGGAGATCCATGGACCACCTGGAAGTCAATGTCCTCGAGGATCAAGAACCACTTCTGACGGGTTATGTGAACAATTTTACAAACGGGAAGGGAATGAAGTAGGAAAAATTGAGGAAATTGGATCAACCTTTCACTGCTATTTTTTGCCGTCTGATCAACTGAAACAATTTACAACAATTCTTGAAATTTTGAACGTTATTCAAATTTTTTCCTAATATTTAGAAATCTGTAAAACAATATAATATTGACCGGATAGTAACCACTAATCCCTTTTTTTTTGGATTTTCAAAATTTTAGCAAATCTGAATTTTCCGATTTTTGCAGTTTACGGAATTTTCGGAATTTACGAAAAAATCGAATTGCGAAGTTTTCGAAAACTAGTTTTTCTTATTATTTTTTTGATTTCTCCACTTCTGGAATTGATTTACAGAACGGCAAATTTTGAAATCAG